GGAGTCGCTCCCATCATCAGCTCGAGGCCCTCAGCAAGCGGTCACTGCAATTGCGTGGTCTGCGCGAGTCGGAGACGCTTGAGCGACAGTAGGAGCAGGACATTTGGAAGAGGAGGACGAGGACGCTCTTTTGGTCCGCGGGCACCAGCAAGGCAGGTACCAGTCAACATCGGGAGGGCCCTCCAGAAACGAATTGCGGCACGGAAGGAGCTGGGCAGAGGGGAGAGGCGGAGAGCCGCGGTCAGAACACGAAGTCCTTCGCTAGAGGAGAAGGGACAGGAGGAGGAGGAGGAGGAATAGAAGAATTGGTGGGGGGCAGTGACGCCCAGCCCTGGCAGAGTGTGGTGGAGGGGGAGGGCAGTGGATGGCGTCAGTGGGAAGTCGGCCTCACCACCCATTCCCCTCCTTCCCCCTCGAACATCATTCAGGAAATTTTGTTCAGCGTGTCGTGCCGCCCGTTCTGGCCCTTCATGCTCAGGCGCGACCAGCTAACCACATCCCGAGTGCCACGCGTCAATTTCCCGAGCCTTTCCCAGCCTCCCGTCCCGCGGAGCGGAGCGAGACGCTATCCGCTTGCAAGGCATATCGCATCGCCGGGGCCGCCGCCGCGACACGCTAGGCAAAAGGTCCCGACCGTATCCCTCCTCCCCCCCATCCTCCTCCCCGCAGCCTCCTCCTCCCCCTCCGTCTTCCCTCCTCCCTTTCCTTCCTCCCTCTCCCCCACCCACTCCCTCCCCCCTCTCCCCTCCCCCTCCTTCGAAGGACCAGACCGCTTTGCAGTTTGATGAGAAAGGAACGAGGGAGTGGAGGAGTCTGGGGGAGAGTACGACGAGGAAGAGGAGAGGAGGAGGAGAAGGAGGAGGAGGATAAAGAAGAAGAGTAAGACGAAGAAGACGAAAACAGAAGAACAGATGTCGACCTTCCCCCAAGAGGTGCTGGGACAACTGCCCCAAGCGTCAGCAGCCCTGCACGCAATTTTGAGCTTCGTAGATCTATGCTTGGCTGGGTGCCCTCCTGCTCCTGTATGGTAAGGCGGGGGGTGGGGGGGCGTTTTCCGAAGCCCGTGTCTCATGTGCACACTGGTGATCTTTCTCCCCCTCATCATCCACATCCCTCCCCCCTCTTCCCATCCACACCTCCCCCATCCACCCCTCCCAAACCATTCCCTGCCCCGTCCACCCATACCCCCTCCCCCATCTCCCTCCCACCCCATCCATCGTCCACCCCAGCCGCCGCTCTCCCCATCAATGCCCCCTCCTCTCCCCGTCCACCCCTCCCCCATGCAGGTGAGCTCGAGGAGCCACGCGATCTGCACGCTGCGGCTGCCGCGCTCGCGGGGCCGGCTGGTGCTTGCGGACGCCGCGGGCGGGAAGAAGAAGAGGAGGAGGAGGAGGAGCCCAAAGCGCGGGAGGAGGAGGAGGAGAAGGAGGAGAAGCCCAAAGCGCGGGAGGAGGAGGAGGAGGAGGAGGAGGAGGAGGAGGAGGAGGAGGAGGAGGGAGGGGCAGGAGAAGTATGAGGACGAGGAGTCCATGAAGAGGACGAGGAGGAGGAGGAGGGGGAGGGGGAAGAGAAGAAGGAGGCGGAGGCTCCCGGGAAGGGATGGGGATAATGATGGTGGTGGTGTTGGTGGTGATTATGATTGTGTTGATGCTTGTGACGGTGATGATGACGAAGTCGATTACGGTGATCGTGATGATGATGATGATGATGATGATGATGATGATGATGATGATGACGATGATGGTGATGGTGGTGATGATGTTGGTGATGATGATGATGATGATGATGATGCTGATGATGATGCTGTTGATGGTGATGGCGATGATGGCGGTAGTGATGGTGAGTGTGGTTGTGGTGGTGATGTGTGTGACGGTGATTATGACGAAGACGTCGATGGTGACGGCGACGTTGGTCAGTATGGTGATGATGACGATGATGATACTGATGATGATGATGATGATGATGATGATGATGGTGATGCTAATGTTGATGATGACGATGGTGATGGTAGTGATGATGATATTGACGCTGGTGATGATGATGCTAATGATGATGGTGATGATGATGGTGGTGATGGTGTGATGGTGGTGGTGAGGGTGGTGGTGATGCTGATGTTCAGTATGATGAGGATGAGGATGAGGATGAGGATGAGGATGAGGATGATGATGATGATGATGATGATGATGATGATGATGATGTCGAAGAGGATGATGATGTTGATGATGATGGTGAGAGTAGTCATAGTCATTGGGGGTGGTTAAGCTGATGATGATGATGATGATGATGATGATGATGATGATGATGGTGATGTTAATGGTGATGTTGATGGTGATGGTGATGGTGATGATGTTGTGATTGATGATGGTGATCAGTATGCTGCTGATTGTGGTTGTGATGGTGATGGTGACGGTGATTGTGATGATGTTGGTGATCGTGACCATCCCAGTCAGAGGAGAAGAAGGAGGAGGAGGAGGAAATAGGGAGGCAACAGCAGAATCAGAAGCATCTCTTCAACGAAGGGTTGGAGAGAGGGTCGAGGTGAGGCTCTCATCCGTGGGTTGATGGATGACGAAGTTGTGCTTGTTCCTAGTTTCTAGCAGTGGTGCATACCAGCACGATGGTTGATCATGGTTGGGCAAGCACTAGTGTCCTCTGCACGCTCTTATGCGGCTGTGTGCACCCTATGTGATCCATCCGCGGTGTCATTGGCTGCCCGAATCCGAAATCTGCGATCTGCTCGCTTCCATCCCGAATATCTGCACCGTCCGCCTCCTTCTCTTCCTCCCCCGTCTCCCATTCCGCATCTTCCTTCTCTCGGTTTCTTGTCCACCTTCTCTTCCGTTTCGTTGAGTACCATGGTTATTTTTCGCTCTATCTCATTCCCCTCTACCATTTACCCCCTTTATCCTCCTCACAATTCCTCCTCCTTTGTCATATTTCCTGCTCTCGCTCCTCGTCCTGCTCCTTCCTCCTCTTCCTCCTTATTCTTATTGTCCTTTTCCACATACTCCTGGATCCCCTTCGGAGACCACCCGTTTACATTAAGAGAATACAGAGAACAAACAAACATGCTCCCTGCAAAAGGATGACACGCACACATCGGAAAGTGTTTACTGTCATCCTTCCCATCCCCCTCGCCGTTGTCCTGATCCTCCCTCTCCTCCTCCCCCTCCTCCTGCCACTGCTTCTCCGGGTACCAAGGCACTTTGCAGTGTACTCCATTGGGTAATCCTCCTCTGCCTCATCCTCCTTCTCCTCCTCCTCCTCCTCCTCCTCCTCCTCCTCCTCCTCCTCCTCCTCCTCCCCATCCTCCTGTCACTGCTCCTCCTGGTACCAAGGCACTCTGCAGTGTACTCCAGGTAATCCTCCTCCTCCTCTTCCTCCTCCACCTGCACCTCCATTCCCTTTCTTATGAATAGTTCCTCCCTGTCGCACCCCCGGGCCGGTCGAAAGAGCGGCCGGGCGTTTCGCTTGAGATTTCCCCACCACTTATGGGCCTGAAGCTTAAAAATTGGCAACCGCTCCACATATGGAGGGCGGGTGGTTTTCAAAATTTGGCTCTCGCCTTAGCGCCGCGCACATTGGTTTTCAACATTTGCATGAGCTTCACGGATTGAGGGCGGGTGGTTTTCAAAATGTGGTTCTGGCCTCAGCGCCGCGCACATTCGTTCTAATATGTTGCAAGAGCTTCACGGATTGAGGGCGGATGGTTTTCAACATGTGGTTCTCGCCCTAGCGACGCGCACACTCGTCTTAAACATTTGCAGGGGTTTCACGAAGTGAGGGCGGGTGGTTTTCAAAATGTGGTTCTCGCCTTAGCGCCGCGCACATTCGATTTAAACACTTGTAAAAATCTCACGGGTTGAAGGCAGCTCCTTTGCAAAATGTGGTTCTCGCCTCAGCGCCGCGCACATTCGTTTAAAAGATCAGTGAGAATGCTACGGGTCCCCATGGTCGGCGTTTAAGAAATTGCGTCCTGGAAGGATTCAGGGTTGTGAGGGCGCAACAGTTACGTCAATTCGCTGTGTTGAAGTCCCAGGAGCGGCGCTCTGGCACGATTCGGGATCGTCAAGACGCACCAGTCAGGTTGATCCGTGGTGTTGGAGTCCTGAGATTGGCATGCTTCAGGGTTTCCAAACGGTTGTCTCCGAACGAGGCAGCTCCCTCGGTGGATATGAACCTTTGTGAGGGGCGTATGACGAGGGAGCCTGGAGGAAGGGTTTACTCCAACATCGTTGATGAGTCTTGGGTTTCCACTGGTCCTCCTCCTCCTTCGTCATTCCTTTTCCTTACAAATAAACCGTTCTCGCCTTATCGCCGCGCACATTCGTTTCAGAATCTGCAAGAGCTTCACGGATCGAGGGCGGGTGGTTTTCAAAATGTGGGTCTCGTCCTAGCGCCGCGTATATTAGTCTTATAAAGAATGTACGACCTCCAAGGATTGAGGACAGATCGTTTTCAAAATGTGGTGTTCGCTTCAGCGCCGCGCACATTCTTTCTAAAACGTTGCAAGAGTTCTACGGATTGAGGGCGGGCTCTTTTCAACATGTGGTTCTCGCTTCAGCGTCGCGCACATTCGTCTTAAGAATTTGCAAGGGCTTCACGGATCCCCATGGTTAACATTCAAAATACGGTATGTTTTGAAGCGATTCGGGATAGTCACGGCGCAACAGTGACGTTGATCGCGGTGTTGCAGTCACAGGAATGGCATTCTGGCACGATTCAGGATCGTCACGACACAACAGTCAGGTTGACCCGTGGTGTTGAAATGAATCCTGATATGGGGTATATCCTAACATCATGGGTGAGTCCTCGGTTTACAATGGTCCTCCTTCCTCCTCCTCCTCCTCCTCCTCCTCCTCCTCCTCCTCCTCCTCCTCCTCCTCCTCCTCCTCCTCCTCCTCCTCTCCCTCCGCCTCCTCCTCCTCCTCCTCCTCCTCCTCCTCCTCCTCCTCCTCCTCCTCCTCCTCCTCCTGCGCGCGTGCCCGTGGCCGCTTTGGCTCAAGAGGTGGCCCCCGTCCCCATCCTTGTACCCTCCGCGCCTCTTCGCACCCCCCGCTGCCCTTGCGACCGGCTTCCCGCCCTGGCTCGGCCTCAGGGCCTCGGGGCTTCTTGCCGCCGCCATGGCGGCGGCGGCCTCGGCCGCGGCCGCCCGCGCGTCGGTGGCGCAGGCGCTGCGGGGAGCGCAGGGCGCGGCGCGCCGGGCCGCGTCGCCCGCCTGTGCGTTCACGCGCTTCGAGCACGAGCGCTGGGAGGCGGCGGTGAGCCCGTACGACAGGATCTTCGGCAGGCTCACCGCGCTCGCGGCCCGCGACGTCGTGGGCCACGCGCTGGCGCGGGCGCCGAGCAGCGGCCCGGGGCTGGACTGCGCTACGGGGCCGGGCTACGTGGTGGAGGAGGCGCTGCGCCGGGGGGTGCCCGGCGGAGAGCTGGTGGCCGCGGACTTTTCGGCGGGCATGCTGCGGCGGGCACGCGAGAGGGTGCCCGACCCCGCGGTGGAGTGGCTCGAGGCTCAGCGTTGTTCAAAGCGATCCCCATCCCCACAGGGCCCTGGTATCTCAGCCCCACCATCCCACCACCCCGGTTGGGGACCAGCCCCTCGACACCCGAAGGGAACAGCCTATACCCGATATCCCCATCCAGGGGGTGAATCGGCCAGTGGGGCCCAGGCCATGCCAGTGGGGACGGGGATCAGACAGCGATGCTCACGAGGCGGACATCCAGGAGCCCCTTCCCACGGCCTTGCGCGGGCGCTTCGCGTGGTGCTCGTGCAACTTCGGGGTGCTTCACCTGGCGCGGCCGGAGGACTTCTTCGCGGCGGCGCTGCAGGCGCTGCGGCCCGGCGGGCTCTTCGTCTTCACCGTCTGGGCCGACGTCGCGCGGAGCCCGGCCTTCCAGATCCCGCTGGGCGCCATCGAGCGCCACGGCAGCATGGACGTCGGGCTGCCGCCGGGGCCCCCTTTCTTCAAGTACAGCGACCCCCGGGTGGCCGAGGAGGCGCTCGCTCGGGCCGGCTTCGAGGCCGCCACGGTGTCGGCGGAGCTGGTGGACATGCGGTGGGAGCTCGACGCGCCGGAGGACCTCTGGACCGTGTTCCTGGAGGGCACGGCCCGCACGGGCGGCATCCTGGAGAAGCAGACGCCCGCCGCACGGGAGGCGATCGAGAGGGCGATGCGCGACGCCGTGGTGGCGGCGCAGGGTGGCTCTGGCGACGCCCCGCCCCCGTACGCCCTGCCGCAGCCGTGCCTCCGGGTCTCGGCGAGCGCCCCCGGCTGACGGCGAGCCGCGGGGCCGCTTGCGCGCGCGCGCCCGCGCGGGACTCGCCTGCGCTGGCGCGGCGGCCTGTCAGAAGAGCAGAGGTACCGATGCCGCGGCCCTTCCCTCGTCGCCACGGCTGGATTCGCCTCGCCATCCTGAGCAGGGCACACCGGCCCGGGAGAGGTCCGGGGAGTAGCGGTGTCGGGGGTGAGAAGCAAGTCCTCCTGAGCGCGTGCACCCCCCCTCCTCTCGGGCCGCGCCGTGTGGAGCGCAGCACGCGCGCCCGCGTTTCGCGCGGCCTACTCCCCCTCCTGCCCCGCCTCCTCCCCCTCAGTCGTTCTCCGGGCTCCTCTGCTGTCTCCCCTGATCCCCCTCCTCCCCCAGGACTGCGCGGGCACCGAGAGGCGCAAGGATATGGGCGGGCTCAAGTCACCGAGGGCGGCCTTCGGCGGAGCCGCCGTCGCCCCCCCCCCCCGCAGCGGGCGAGAGCAGCGGAGGTTTGGACGGGAGAGCGATGGGGCGGAGGAGGGGCGCGGGAGGCGGAAGGAGCGGGCCGAGCAGGAGGAGGAGCAGGAGGAGGAGGGGGGAGGAGGAGCAGGACGACGACGACGACGACGACGACGACGACGACGACGACGACGACGACGACGACGACGACGGAGAGAAGGAGCAACAGGGGGAGGACCAGCCAGAGGAGCAGTAGTATGAGGGGGTGGGGAGTGGAGGATAGGAGAAGGAGGGGTGAAGGGAGGGCATTCGCAGGGATGGTGGACGGAGGAAGGGGAGACTGAAGATGGAGGACGGCGGAAACTGATGAGAACGACAGTGGTGATGGAGGAGGAGGAGGAGGAGGAGGAGGAGGAGGAGCGGGGATGCGGGAGGGGCGGGAGGAGCGGGGAGAAGGATGAGAGGAGGAGGAAGGATAGGAAGGGATGCTAGAAGAGGACGCAAGAAGTGAGGAGGAGGAGAGGAGGAGGACGGAGGAAGCGGAGGAGGAAAAGAGGCGGAGGAAGCCGCAGCAGCAGGAGGGAGCGGAGGAGCAGGCGGGTAAGGCGGAGCAGGAGAAGCAGGAGGATGCTGCGGGGAAGGTTTGGTGAGGAAGAGGAGGAGGAGGAGGATGGTGGAGGCGGAGGAGGAGGAGGAGGAGGGGAGGAGGAGGAGGAGGAGGAGGAGGAGGAGGAGAGAGGGACCATAAGTTGCCATGAGGAAAGAGGGGGACGGGACCAGAGGGAAGGAGTATGTCAGAGTGGGTATGAGGCGTGGAAGGAACGGGAGGGGAAGGGGAAGGAAAGGATAGGCGAGCGGGGGAAGAAGACACAGGTAGGGCAGAAAGATGGAGCACGTATGGTCGACGGTGGCGACGATCACGAGGATGATGGCGCTGATGAGGGGCATGGTGATAGCGATGGTAGTGATGCTGATGATGCTGGTGACCAGCCTGTCCGAAAAACGCGGTGTGGTGCCACACGCGCGCCCAGCCAGTTTGGCTGGCGGCTGCGCACCCCGGGGCAGCTGCCGACCGCGGCGGCGCAGCTGCCCCTCCACGCGTCGCGCCGCCCCTCTCACGACAGCGCGGGCGCCGCCACGAGAGCGCCGCGAGCGCACGCGCTCCCCAGGCGCGCGGCGACCCAACCAGCGCTTGGACCGCGCCCGGGATTCGCCCGCGGGGTTCGCCCGCGGCGCCGCGGGGCCCGGGAGCGCCCGAGCGGGCCGGCGGCGGCCCGGCGGGCCCGCTCCTCTCGGGGGCAGCGCTGCGGTCCAGAAGTTTTGGCGCGCCGCCGGTCCTGGCCACCACCACGCCTCGGCGCGAGACGCGAGCCACGCTCGACCAGGTCCCAAACGTTGGCGTCACGAGGCGTTCCCGGCCTCCCGCCCCGCGGGGCGGAGCGGCGCGCCGCCCGCTCGCAGGGCGCGGCGTGCCGCCGGGGCCGCCGCCGCGGCGCGCCGAGCAGGCCGCAGGCGGCGGCGCGGGGCTCGAAGAGCACCGCGCCCCCCCCCCCCGAAGCACAGGGCGCCTCGAGGGCTGCGGCCGCCCGCCGCGGCCAGGGGCCGCCGCGGCCAGGGTCCGCCGCGGCGGGGGTGCCCTCCGAGCTACGGCGCCGCTGCTCGGCTCTCTTCGTCCACGCGCGGCCTGGCTTCTTCGAAGGCGCGGGCCTTGCCTCTACTGGTGCAGGGCCGGCGCCATCCACGGGGCAGGGGCTCGGGGCTCTCAAGAGAGACGGGGGTCAACGCCAGCGGGGGTCGGTCAGAGCGCCAGATCTTGACGGGTGCTGCAGGGCCAGGGTCGCACTGGCCCAGGCCTGGGTGCAGGAACTGACCCGGGTCTGGACCGGCCAGGGTCAGTAGATCCCCGAGGGGTGTTCCTACGAAGCCTGCCCCCCCTGCCCTACCACCTTGTGCGGGCCGCCAACTTTTCTCGGAGATCAGGAGCAACTTTTGGGGGGGGATAGGCTCAGAGGGGGGGGCAAAACTTGTGCTCGTGAATCCGGTCGGCCTCACGGTGTGATCTGCAAAGGGTGTTCAAAGCACGTGCGCTCGAGCTTTGCTGACCAGATTGTGAAAAAAAATGCTGAGGAGAAGTGCAGCTGTCAGACGTCCGATCTGTCACCTCGGACTTTGCTCATCGAAGGGGGAGGGGTGGAAGGGCGCATCGACCCCCTAGCGTCGGGCGTCGAATCATGTTCTCGGACGTGTCCGTCAGTTCCCGTCGGCTTTCTGGCCTCGGGATGCCTTCCAGCGGCTGCGCCTCGCCGAGTGCGTTCCAGTTCCGGGGGGGCCCGGATCGTCCCGAACGACCGCCAGAGAGCCGAGTTATGACCCGAGATCACAGGTGGGGTTAGCAGGGGATACATCGACCCCCAGTCGCCCAATGATCGCTGGTAGGGGCCTGACAGCCCCCCGCTTCCCAGGAGCCTGCGGATTCGCCATCGGGGGCCTCATAGCCGGTAGATCGACCATGTATCGCCGCTCCCAGCTCGCTGTGTCTCTCCCTTGAGCAGGTGCACCCCTGATGTTGCCCCTCATCTTCAGAGGAGGAAGGGACATTGATACCGGTACCCGTCCCTCGTCGCCACGGCCAGGTCCGCATGGAAGTGCTGGTCGGAGCGCACCCGAGGCGACGTCCAGGGAGCAGCGGCATCAGTCGTTCCTTGTTCCCCCAGTCGCAGGCCTAGAAGTTGACACCAACACCAAGATCGGCGGTGTGCCTCCACCGAGGGAAGACGATCCCAATCTCGGTGATGGTGGTAATATTCTGGCTGCCAAGGTGACCGAAATATTACCACCAGCACCGAAATCTAGGATCATCTTCCCCCTGTGGAGGCAACGCCTTGTGTTGGTGTTGGTGCCAATTTCTAGGCCTCCAACCCAGCACTTGCAGGGCGCTCCCGCTGCAGGAGCCCGCCAGCGCCCCCTCATGATGACGGATTGTCGCGAGAGCTCGTGCTGCCTTGCTGGGGCGGGTTCTGAGCGGCCGCCGCCGTCTGTGCTCGAGGATTCTCGTGGATGAGCGCCGGACGATCACCCAGCGCCGCCGATCAGAAAGAGGCTGGGCGAGACACTAAGAGTCTATGCGACTGGAAGGAGCCATTCCTGATCGTCGCCCGAGCGGAACTTGCCGAGGCCGTTAAATTCCACTTTCTCAAGCCGCCTTTCTCCGAGCCCAGCGTCCGTTTCCCATCTCATCGCTATTGCAGGGTATTCTCGTGGCCGACGCTTGGCTGGATTGGTGGACTTGCCCTTGATGTCCACGCCGTGACCCTTTCTCCCTTCACGTGTCACATCTCACGGGCGCGTGTGTGACCAGCAGAGGCGGAACGAATACAAAACAAGGTAAAACGAAACGAATACGAAAAAGCACTGCTTAGATCGAGCCCTGGAGGCCGGTCGTGCCTGGGTCGGCATGGAGTCGGTCAGCCGCCAAAGAGCCGACGCCATCGACAATCTCACGGCCGCCACCGCCAGGGGGAATCGAGGCACCCTGTCAACGGCGTGCCGCGACGCGGTGTGCATCATGGGGAGGGGCAGCGCCGAGGTGGAGCTCCCCATGTCCGCTGGCCTGCTGAGCCCACCTTTCCACTTGGACCTGCGGGTCTGCCGCAGGAGCCCTTCAGCGAGTCCGTCGATTCGTGTTGCGCCGGCCGGGGCAAACGGGGTTCGGGCTCACTGCCCCACGCACAGTGGGTTGGCTACGTCGTAGCCCCACGCACGGTGGATCGGCTACGCGTTAGCCTCAGGGACATGCGTACATCATCCCGACACCGCCATGAGTAGCGGGTGCCTACAGCCCGCGGGGGCGAGGGAGACCGCGGCGTTGACGACACGAAGGTTGACGCCGCATTTCGGAAAACCCTGCCAACGACCTGCGGATGCCCCGCAAGCGGAAAGATATTTTGGTCCGCAGCATCTAATTCATGTGCTGCAGACCATTGTAGCAGCTGGATCGCTTCATACATGATAGTTCGCAAGACAGGCTTGGGCGCTTACTCCACTCGTCGTAGACCGACAAGGCGGCGTGGATTGCCACACGCGAAGCCCTGACCAAACGTGGTCCTGCACCACGCTCCCATCTGGCGATGACGTGTTCTCAAGTGCCCAGAAGCCCATCGAGGTTCAAGCACGTCAGCCTACTCGCACGCACACGCGCCAAGAAGCCGCACAACAACTCCCGGCTGAGAGCCGCGGTCATGCTCTTGCGGAGGCGCTCACGGCAGGGAGGCCGTGCTGCCCCGCCGAGACGCATGCTCGACGGATCCAGGCCTCGGCACCGAGAGTAGGTTACTTCCTGGGTTGCTTCAAGACGGTGCGAGGAGGGGCAATGGGGGAAGGCAGGAGGGGTACGGGAGGGGGACCCGCTGAGAGGAGAGGCAGAGCAGGGGGGGGGGACCGGGTGGCGGGAAGAGAGGCATTTGTTGACACAGTGGGGGCGCGCATCACGAAACGAGATGTTTTCCGTCCGGTTATCCTGGGTTTCTTCGCTCCGCGCGCTGCGCGGTGGCTTCCCGCAGCAGCCGAAGAGGCTGCTGCGTTCAGGATCCTCCCAGTTTCCCCATCAGCTGCGCCTCGCGCGCGGGTTTTCAGCGTCGGGCTTCCTGCC